ATAAAAATATTATATATTTTTTTACATCTCAATTATAAAATTCACAGAGGTCAGTACATATCCACAGCACAACTTCTGCAAGCCACCCCCATGCCACACTCGAGGTGCAGGGGTGACAGGAAGTGACATTGGCTCGGCACTTCCCTTGCACCTTGAACTTCTCAAAGCACATCGCGAATGCCAACTCATTTACAACACGCTCAGCAGCCCTCAATGTCCTTAGTGTGATCTGTACATTCCAAAGGGGAAAATGAAAGCCTGGATCTTAAGAAGTGGTTCAGGTCACAAAATGAATGACTAGAGCTGAGATTCAAAGAGGAGCAATGCATTTGAGACCGTGTGTGTGTGTGTGTGTGTGTGTTCTGACATTACCAAGGCCACCAATGGGAAATCGGCAGCTTGCCAGGACAATGTCTCAGCCTTGTCTCAGATGATCCTCAGCCAAAAACGCAGTGCCGTCAATCCCTTAGTGCTACCCTAATTAAGTAGCCCCCTTGCTCTACAAGTTCTACGTAAACACATCTGCAGAAATACTACACGGACCTCCACGTTCCCACAGGGTTTGGAGACGTGGTTGTACTATCTTGAAGGAAAGTGGAAGTTTCTGGATCCCATGTCATTTTTTTTTTCCCATGGGAACCTGAGTCACCTTAAGTTAGAGCACTCCCCCAGAGAGAGGGCAAAGACAGGGCAGCTGGGGGGTGGGGGGGGAGGCCTCTCCTCTGTTTGGAGCTTCAGGAACTAAGACCAAAATCACAGATGGTTTTCTCAACTGTGTTCACTGACACAGTCTAGGGTAGAGAGCCACCTTGAGAAACATCAAGTCTTCTCTTGCCTGAGAAGCCATTCCTAGCTATTACTTTCTCTTCCCCATCATTAGTACTGTGTGAACGACACCGCTTAGGATTCCATCGTAACCACTATGTTCTGGCTCCAGTTACAAAGGCTTTTGTCCAAAATCAAGCCGTTAGACTATCTGTATTTTATTCTTTTATGTGTCAATATCCTCTAGAAGGGCTCTAAGTTCTTAATAGATATGTCTTTGACCAAGGAATCAAAACAGTTAATGTTGCTTAGGCATAGCCCCACCCAATAAAAGCTGGCTTGATTATATATATAATATATATATATATTTATATTTATATATTTATGTATATGTATTAACACATCATTTTGCTGATATTAAACACAACAAGAAGAAAGATAAACCAACCTTTTCTAACTACATGGTTTGAAAAAGGAAAATCAACTCGTGGCAGAGGAAAGGATGGGCGATGATAATGATAGCTCCAGAAGGACAGTACCATACTGGCTTTCTGTGCCTGTTTTACGTGCTTGCCTTGGCTGTCACGAATCCCTACTTCAGATAAATCATGCCCTGGCTCTGATATCTTAAATACTGGTGAGAGATTGTCCTGTGCTGATTATAATGCTGGGCAAATGTTAGCTTTAGACTCATTAAGCTGTCACGGGCACTCATGCAAAAAGTGTTTAAACTTTGGGTGCTTGGCCATACACACGCTGGCAGCAAAAACTCTAGTGATATGGATCCAAGATTGAGATAAGGAGATACGAGGAAGGAAAGCTGTCCATGCATGGACCCATTTTATATGTAATATGATCCTTTAAATTCAACTGTCGGAAACAGATCTCAAGGGCAATGGCTCCACGAAGGTCACTGTGGGTGTTAGTGTTCCCCTGAACTGGCCAAAATGTCCACCCATCTGAGTTCAGTCTTACATTTCTACCTGTAGGCCCCTCTTAGATAACGAAGGAGCCCAGGGCTTCAAGTCAGACAAACCTGGATTCAAATCAAGGTGCTAGTGTGTGTTAGCTGTGAGAGCTTAGGCGTGACACTCCAGTTATTTCGTTCCCACTCTGCAGAACTGAGATAATAGAAAAACTACAGGTGGCTGTAAGCAGCAGAGACAGTGTAAGCCTAACTCGCAGAAACGGTATCAAGTCCAAAGCAGAGTCTTCAGGCTGTTGTTATTTAATATCTGGAAACCAGATTAGCGGTGCTTAGCTGAAGTCATGAGAACACATGGGTGTCCAGGACAAAAACTATTCTGAACCCACATCTCAAAAGCCTCTAAATTTCACACAGTGATGAATCAGGTTTATCTTGCTCCTCTGTTCCTTTTATGTAGGTTCAAATCTACATGCCAACAATGACTTTTGGAGAAAGAAAAAAAAAAGTCCCTTCAAGCAAGTTCTAAATCCTTTCATGTGCTAAAAATCATTGCTAGATATCTGGAGAAGGGGTATTTTTTTCCCAGTTCTAAGCCATTTCCCGATTGTTGCCACAGTGTTTACAGCTTGAGAGAACCCCAGGAGAGTGAGCTTTCTGGATGGAGGTTCTCCTTTTAGGGTGACCAAGAAGCATTAGCTGCTCGCTCAGCTGCAGACACCTCCGTGCTCCTGAGGAGCTAAAGCGTCTGCATTGGCACGGGTTCTCAACCTGCCCAATGTACCCACCCTCCAATCTGGTTCCTCCTGTCGTGGTGAACCCCAACCATAAAATTATTTTCATTGCTACTTCGCAACTGTAATTTTGCTCCTGTTATGAATCGCAGTGTAAATATTTTCTGGAGATGGAGGTTTGGCAAAGGGGTTGCGGACCCCTAGATTGAGAAGCACTTTTTTACAGCCTGTCTGGGGTTTGAAGACCCTGCTTTCCATGTGGCGTTCCTCAGGCTTCAACACTCACCTCATTAAAGAGACAGATCCAGTGGAAGAGGCCTGGGGGGGGGGGGGTCTGACAGTCTACCTGATACCCAGGCAATGTCATGAGCTGGCCACTCTTGAAAAAGAAAGGAGCTACAGGACCACACCCCAGGCCACACCCCAGGGCCTCACAGCAGTCTGTCACTCTTGAAGCTCTAGAACCAAATGAGGAAACTTCCAAATGACTTCAATTATAAAGCTATCTGGCCACAGTGGCCCACACACCTGGGAGGTTGGAAGAGGATAGCGTGAATTTGAAGCCAGAGGCCAGCCTGAGCTACAGAGAGCGATACCTTGTCTCAAACAGCACACACACAAAAAAAAAATGGAGTAAGGCTAACAGAATGTGCACAGAACTCGACTTCCATAAAGAAATTAAATTTATAGCGATGCCAGCCATGCACAGTAGTGGTTTACACCTTGATCCCAGCACTTTGGATGAGCAGAAAGATCATGACTAGACTGGGCTATACAATGAGATCCTGTCTTTAAAAAATGTACTACAGCAATGCTATTAGTGTACTTGGTGGCGGATGGCGATTCTCAAGCTGAAACAGCTCTTCCCATCATACAGATTAAAATCTTTTACTCTCTTTCTTGATAGAGCATTTGAGAGGTCCAACAGGCTGTTTCATGGAGTTAACTGTTTAGTGAACCCACACGCCAAGACTCACTGCTAATGGCTCTGAATGAGCTAGGGTAAGCGAAATACCACACTACTTCGAGAAATCTGGGAAAGCTGGCAGAAAGCGCGTAACAAATAGAATAAGCAGGTTTCTAAAAGCCTGACATGCGCTCGGTAACTGTCACCGATTTATGCGGCGTCTGACCTTTAGGGACTGAACAAGCAAGCCAACCATCTTAGGACCACGCTCCGTGTTAAATGTGAAGCTTTATGCTTCGAAAATGATAGGAAAACATGTGCTGGGAAATACTGTGGTCACGTGGGTGACACACGGGACTGGAACCCGGCAAGCAACATTGCAGCCAGGGCTACCAAGCCACCACTAGCCGGATGACCTTGCTTGCTCTGGGCGACTCCTGCCAACTGAGCCCTCACATCTCCGCCACTGCTCGGCTCTCCTCCCCACTATCTGGAGCTCACACAGGTGAAGTGGCTGATGTCAATGCATCCTGGTTGCCAATGGCTGGCCCTAAAAACAGGAGACAACTGATTTTACTTCCATAGAACCCAACTGACCTGCCCTGGAAAAGCCTCACACCTGAGCCTGGGGTGTTCCCTGCCTAGAAAGCAGTGGGATGAGCTGGTTGGCCACAGCATAGTGAAGACAGACTGGCTTTGAGTTCGTTTCTGGGGTCTGTTTTCCTTTGTAGCACCCAAGTAGGTCCTCAGTCTGGGATAATTGTGTTAACTCAGCGCCTTGCACAGCGTCTTAAAAATCTCAGAAAAGGGGACTGGAGAGATGGCTCAAGTCTTTTTTTTTTTTTTTTTTTTTTTTCTTAAAAAAAAGAACATCCTTTAAAAAAATAACATAAAAATAAAAAAATCTCAGCAAAGCCACCAACATTTCGAGATACACGTGTCAGAACCCAATGGTTCAAAGACCAAGCCAGCGGTTCCCTCCAAAAGGCCGAAAGCAAGGAACCTCGAGCCTAGCCTTTGGGGCTAGGATCCACCTGTTCTCGTTCCCCTGTTGCACAAGGAATCACCTGGCGAGCATTTTACACGCCGTTCCCTCGCCCCGCACGTGTTTCACTTTAACAAGACTCTGAGGGGCCGCCAACCTCCCAGGTCGATCGGTAAACTCGCTTTCTTAAAGGCCATCGCTTTTCTTGAGTCTCAACGATCCTGGGGTTTGTTTTCACTCAAAGCAACCATCCCCTCCACCCACAATCCTCCCCGCCACGATTTTGCCCACAGAGACCGTGACAGCCTGTTCCAACATAAGGTCAAAAGCAAACCAAGTGCCAAGTATTTCCTTGTATTTCCAAAACAAAACGCAAATGAGCAGGAAGCCATTCCTCTCCGACAAGTTTACACTCACAATCCAATCCGTTCTCGTCAATTTGCAAACTTTTTCACTCCAATCTCTCCTATGTCAGCTTTTTCACGGAACCGTACGTGGTCGCAGATCTCAGCACACGCTGGTTGCAAACTCAATTGCTCAGGGGCTTTGCTCTGGCTCAAGAGCACAACACCCTACACCACCCCGACCAGGGCACAGACAGGGGTCCTCCAGAGCGTCTCCAAAGCCCTGCCAGCCAGCCAGCGATGCCCGTCTCTCCAGAATCCGCGGGGCCCCCGACTTTACCTGAAGCACGTGGTGAGCTCGCCCGAAGACTTCAGACACGGGTATTTGGTCGTGGTGATCTTGTTTTCCGAGCACACTTCTCTAAGTGGGGGGAAAAGGGGGAGCTGGAGAGGAAACTCCGCTGGAGGTCAGCGGGAGAGCGTCGGGCAGTTCGCGCCGGGCTCTGCGTCCGGACGCACCGGCTGCTACTGGCAGCGGGGAGGAGGCAGGGCAGCGTCCCGGACCCAGGCGATCCCACCGCCCAGCGACAGGAAAAGCCAAAGAAGTCTGCACGGCAAAGTCCGGAGAAGGGCATCCAGCGTCCCGACCCACAGCCGGGAGCGTCAGGGCGGATCCCGCAAGAGATGGAGATCACCTGGAACAGCTTAGCCGCCCTGCGGGTGACCCAGCCCGCAGGGACCCGTGGATCCTCCACCTCGGACGATCTGCACCCCGTCAGCCCGCCCCGAGCGCCCCCGGCGCCGTCCTGGGCTGGGGCAGGTGGCTCTTACCTGTCGCGGTCCTCGGGTTCCTCTCGGTAGGTCCACGTGTGTCCCAGCGCCAGGAGTAGCAGCAGCGGCCCCAGGCTCTTGCCCAGCTGCCCCTTGGCTGCTCCTCCCCGGCTCAGAGGAGGCGGCGGCACCATCGGGGAAGCTCTCCGCTTCTTCCCGGCGCGCGAGCCCTCTCTCTCCCTGCGCTGTGCCCAGAGGCTCCGCGGCCGCCGCGGCCTTCCCTCTCGCCGGCAGGGGGCGCCGGGGAGCTGGGGCGCTTGCACCACCTGCGGGCGGCTCAAACTTGGGGAGAGAGGGGGGTGACCCAAGCTTGTCTAGGGGACGCCGGCCTTGGGCGGCCAGCGGGGGGTAAAGGGGGATGCTGGAGTCCCGGGAATCTCTTCTGGACGTCCAGCCTCCAGTCACAAACTGTCTGAACTTGACTTCAGGCTGCGCCCTCCTCTCTTCCCTCTTCCTCCCCTGGGAGAGGAGCGCGGAGTCGAGGCAGCCAGGCGCTCCTTTGCTTTTTTTTTTTTTTTTTTTCTCCGAGGTCTCAGCTTGGGAGGAGGAGTTGCTGGCTGTCACCAGAGCGAGAGGAGGAGAGGAGCCGGGTTAATAGCTTCCTTCCTGTTGTCAGTTAACTTCCACGGCGAAGGGTCAAACCAATGTTTGCCTCTTCGCTCCTGAGGACCTCCTTGCGTGTTTTTTCCTCTACCCTAGTTCTAAGAATACGAGGGAGCGAGGAGCGGCTACAGGGGGTCTCCTACATCGCCCTTCCGCACGTGAAATAGTCCAATCTAGCAAGCAATCTTCATCCAACCCCTTTCAGAGGAAATTCGGTCGTTTTCATTCGTCCACAACCCTTGATGTGTGATTTTCCTGGTCAGCGCAATTTCAGGACAAGTTCTCAGCTGAAGGCTTCAGGGAGCTTCGACCCCAGCTGCCTTTATCTAACTTCTGCCTTATAGGGGTCTTGACTAGGTTCGTTTTCTCAGCCAGTTAAGGAATGAACAAAGCAGGCAGGATCTCAGGCGCAGCAGGCAGCAACCGCTGTTAAAACTGAAGAGAACCCTGTTAAATCATCTTCCCTACTTTCTTCTGAGCGTCGTTCTCAAAGATTGGGAACACTTAATTCTGCCAACAGAGTTGTGCCTGAGAGCGGGGCGGCATGGGGACCTTCTAAGACACTGGAGAGGCCTGATCAGAGCAGCGAAAGTGAACATGTTGATAAGACGTCGTTTTCAGATATTCTTGAAAGCAGGTGCGGTCGAGTAGAAGACGCTCCATGTCCTAGAGAACAAGATCCAAGTGGCATAGACTGTCCAGCCCCAGGCTGCAGCAGACCCTGCCCGCAGGAGGAGTCCAGCAGGAGCACACCTGATTCTGCTCCTTTTGTGGTTACCTCATCATCTTCTCACCTGCATGACCCCAAAGTAAAGAACACCAGGAGGACTCTTAATCTAACAACAATTCCACACAGCTTTTACTTCACAGCAGTAATTTTCTGTTGTGTTCTCAAGCTGTTGGAAATTTTAGAACTGTGCACTGGTGTTCACCAATGCTTTGATGTTCGGTGTTCGCCCAGACACTCTTTAGGCCTGATACCGTGAAAAGCGCTGCAGGTCATTTAAAATGTTTAAAGTGAAGCGAGTTTTTGCATCTGTACCCTCATTTTGTACCTTTTCATTTGAGCTCCTACATCTGCTGACGTCAAGTAGCTTTGATTTTCTACATTCCTTTAGATAAAGTTTTCTGGATCATGAAAAAAAGGAAAAACACTGAAGAAGCACAGAGGGAGACTATGAAAGACAGTCCTGATGTAGACCTGATAGGCTAGGGTCAGATGAAAAGGGAGGAGGTCCTCCCCTATCAGTGGACTGGGGAAGGGGCATGGGAGGGAGGGATTGGAAGGGGATGAGGCTGGGGGCTACAACTAGGCTACAAAGTGAATAAATTGTAATAAAAATTTTAAAAAAGAAAAGAAAAAAGAAGCAGCCATGCACCACAGGGGGACGACTCCCCACAAGTGAATTCTCAGAACTGCGCAGTAGCATGGGGGGCGATGCTGGTCTGGTCTTCCTTCCATCATTTCTGATTGACCAACTTAAAGGGGGAAGAAGATGGCTGACATCTTCTTTTGGCTTCACTCAAACTGGGGGAAAAAAAAGAAAAGAAAAGAAAAAGAAAAAGAAAAGCCCAGGTCAGCCAGAAGGTGGTCCCTGCTCACAGCAGAGAGGTGGGCGATGAAGAAACCGGAGTTTGCCATCTGGTTGTATACCTATGGCCCCTTTCCCTGTCTGTCTGCTGTCTGTCTGTCAGGATGTTTGTCTGATTTGCTTTCCTAACGTTTTCCTTGCAGCCCACAGCGTCAGAGCTGAAAATACCTTGGGTGACTTACTGAAGACAACCGAATCCACCTGTCTTGGCGATCAGGGAAGTCACCTGGCCCTGCATGGAAGACCGGTGCCATCTACCGGCTAGTTCCTGATGCCCTGTTTACCGCAAAACTAAAAAGATAGGGACCCCAACAGGGTTTTAAGGTTGTTGCGATTCACTTCTTGTCAAAAAGAAATTCTTAACAGAAATGTGAACCTCAAGGTCAAGAAGGCCATGGCCCAAAAATAAGTACGGAAAGCAAGAAGTTGAATGTGAAATCACTAACATGAATCAATCGTGTAGCTCAGGCCAAAGAGAAGGTCTCCTGTGCACAACCTACAGGTGTGCCCGTTGGCCAGGTGAGCATGATAGTCTGGTCTGCCGAGACTCACCACACATAGCACCTTCCTTATTCCTCTGTTGAATATTTTGTGTTTCTCGGAGAACTGTGGTCATGATTTTAATTCATCCTCACATCCATCAGGCTTGACACTTTATCCAAGTAGTTTCGATTTTTTTGTTTTGTTTTTATTTTTTGTTTTTGTTTGTTTTTTGTTTTTCCTACCAACCAGTCACAGACACGGAGAATGTGAAGCATCCTCGACAGCGATATCCAGCGGTGCTGCCTGCGCACAGACCCAAGCACTGTCAGCTGGTCATCCGGTAGACACTGGCTCATCCTGCGGGTGGTGTGCCTGGGTTGCTACCTGGATTCAAACTCGGGTAGTGGTTTGTAGGTGAGTGGTCCCAGACAGCACTGCGAAACCATGCTTTTCTGCCCATATTTTGGTGAGTTGTAGGATTCCATCCTCAGAGGTGTTAAGATGGAGTGAGTTGTGTAAAACATCTCTCGAGAGTTCTCTGGGCATTAATTCCTCTTCTTTAGCCCAAATTATTCATTGCATGACACATCTTTAGCTTCCAAGCTTTTGCTTTATAGATATATAGGAGGCTATTTATAGCACCATTTGGGTTCTTAAGGCTAGACCTTGATGGACACATGAGACGGACACATGAAAAATAAACCTATCCTGAGGTTATAACACCCTGGATCCATTTAAACTGTGCCATAGAGGTGTCGGCTACCATCTTGGAAGGAAGAGAACCAAGCCGAAGCTAAGGGGTTTATTTTTATTTTCTTACCAATGCCTCTGCTTTGATAACTTGTTTTGTTTTCTTTCTCATCTTTACCCATTTTAGATTTCCACTGTTGCATCATGGATGTTGATCTACAATCGGTAGAGCATGAGATGGAAGATTAGTCATCTGCTGTATTCTACAGCACTTACTAAGCCATGCGCGTAGGCAAGCTGCTTTTCAAGGAAGGTAGTGAATGCTGAAAAGACAAAAGCAGCCGGATGTGGGTGCACACCTATAACCCCAGCACTTGGGAGGCTGAGGCAGAAGGACGGAGAATTTGAGGTCAGCCCGGGCTACATAGTCAGTTCCAGGGTAGCCTGAGCTATGAGCAGAGTGAAACTGTCTCAAATATAGAAACCAAAACAATAACAACAAACAAAGAAAAAAAGCCAAAGGTAAAGGCAGAACCGAGTCAACTGTATGCACTGTGCTAGTGTCAGAGCCTAGGCTGCCACCACCTCTTGGCCTCTGCGCTCAGCATCTGTGAGGATAAGGGGCCCTGAGAAGATGCCAGCCAAGCAAATGGTCCATGCTGGCCTGGGGGAGAATGTCACAGTATGTGGTCAGAACATTTCTGCAAGAGAAGAAGGGTAGCTAAAATCTTTCAAACACTCTCTCCCTGCAGGCCTGAAATTTGTCCAGCTTGGTGGGCTGGCCTCAGTGAAAGGAGCATATGGACAGCCATGTATGAATACCAGTTCGTGAAGAGATTTGAACAGTCCCTCCAGAGTCAAGCCTGTCTTTATGCAGGTTGCAGCCTGCATGGAAGTTTTCAGAACTGAGTTTGCAAGCGGCAGGAAGCCCAGGAGTTTTAGTTTCTCTCTCCTCAGAGTCAGACTCTTTCCACCACCCTGCACAACTCGGGCCTGCCCCCTTGATCTGCCCCATCCCCTCACCTGCAAACAGCTGTCATGAGAGAACTTGCCCACAGTCTCCTACGCAGGAGCATTGTAGAGATTAATGACGGGAGACCTCACATACCTTGGAGAAAACCGTGTGGTTGTTTCAGTGCACCGCTTTGGCAGTGTTTCCCGTCCAGACCTGTCAACTGCCCTGAAACAAACCAGAGAGGGAAGAGTTAGACAATTTACCTTATCCTCGGGGCCTGGGCTGGGAGAGAGCTTGAGAGTACGCTATGTGCTATATAGGTCAGGGCCCAGGAGGAACAGGTATCTGTTCAGCAGCAAGGCTGAGATCATGTCCTGGGAGCCAGTGAGGTAACTGACTGCAGAATAAAGAGGACAACACTCTCAAAGTGAAGAAGAAGAAGAAAAAGAAGAAGAAGAAGAAGAAGAAGAAGAAGAAGAAGAAGAAGAAGAAGAAGAAGAAAGAAAGAAAAGCTAGAGCGCACTCGTTTAAAGGAAGCCAAAGTAGTATGTTTTCAAGAATCTTATGGGGACAAAACTAACCTAGAGTTAGAAGCAGGAAGTTGCTAATGAAGACACATTCCTACAAAGGAGGGACCGCTGCTGTGGCATAGGTGTGTGTGCTTACTCCACGCCTGCAAAGGGAGCATCTCAGGACAGCTCAGGCAAAGGGAAAATGGGGACTGAAAAATAGCTGGACCAACGCACACCAGGGGCCTGCACCCGCAGAGGGCCCTGCACCTTTGGAAGTCGACTCGGCATGTTTCCATGATCAGTTATAGGAGTCACAGAAAAGAAACAGGCAGGGCTGGAGAGATGGTTCATGGG